GAGTGCATGTAGTGAGCGCATGTAGTGAGTGCATGTAGTGAGTGCATGTAGTGAGTGCATGTAGTGAGTGCATGTAGTGAGTGCATGTAGTGAGTGCATGTAGTGAGTGCATGTAGTGAGTGCATGTAGTGAGTGCATGTGGTGAGTGCATGTAGTGAGTGCATGTAGCGAGTGCATGTAGTGAGTGCATGTAGTGAGTGCATGTAGTGAGTGCATGTAGTGAGTGCATGTAGTGAGTGCATGTAGTGAGTGCATGTAGTGAGTGCATGTAGTGAGTGCATGTAGTGAGTGCATGTAGTGAGTGCATGTGGTGAGTGCATATGGTGAGTGCATATGGTGAGTGCATGTAGCGAGTGCATGTAGTGAGTGCATATGGTGAGTGCATATGGTGAGTGCATGTAGCGAGTGCATGTAGTGAGTGCATGTAGTGAGTGCATGTAGTGAGTGCATGTAGTGAGTGCATATGGTGAGTGCATATGGTGAGTGCATGTAGCGAGTGCATGTAGTGAGTGCATGTAGTGAGTGCATGTAGTGAGTGCATGTAGTGAGTGCATGTGGTGAGTGCATGTAGTGAGTGCATGTAGTGAGTGCATGTAGTGAGTGCATGTAGTGAGTGCATGTAGTGAGTGCATGTAGTGAGTGCATGTAGTGAGTGCATGTGGTGAGTGCATGTAGTGAGTGCATGTAGCGAGTGCATGTAGTGAGTGCATGTAGTGAGTGCATGTAGTGAGTGCATGTAGTGAGTGCATGTAGTGAGTGCATGTGGTGAGTGCATGTGGTGAGTGCATGTGGTGAGTGCATATGGTGAGTGCATGTAGTGAGTGCATGTAGTGAGTGCATGTAGTGAGTGCATGTGGTGAGTGCATATGGTGAGTGCATATGGTGAGTGCATGTAGCGAGTGCATGTAGTGAGTGCATATGGTGAGTGCATATGGTGAGTGCATGTAGCGAGTGCATGTAGTGAGTGCATGTAGTGAGTGCATGTAGTGAGTGCATGTAGTGAGTGCATGTAGTGAGTGCATGTAGTGAGTGCATGTAGTGAGTGCATGTAGTGAGTGCATATGGTGAGTGCATATGGTGAGTGCATGTAGCGAGTGCATGTAGTGAGTGCATGTAGTGAGTGCATGTAGTGAGTGCATGTAGTGAGTGCATGTGGTGAGTGCATGTGGTGAGTGCATGTAGTGAGTGCATGTAGTGAGTGCATGTAGTGAGTGCATGTAGTGAGTGCATGTAGTGAGTGCATGTGGTGAGTGCATGTAGCGAGTGCATGTAGCGAGTGCATGTAGCGAGTGCATGTAGTGAGTGCATGTAGTGAGTGCATGTAGTGAGTGCATGTAGTGAGTGCATGTAGTGAGTGCATGTAGTGAGTGCATGTAGTGAGTGCATGTAGTGAGTGCATGTAGTGAGTGCATGTGGTGAGTGCATGTGGTGAGTGCATGTAGTGAGTGCATGTAGTGAGTGCATGTAGTGAGTGCATGTGGTGAGTGCATATGGTGAGTGCATATGGTGAGTGCATGTAGCGAGTGCATGTAGTGAGTGCATATGGTGAGTGCATATGGTGAGTGCATGTAGCGAGTGCATGTAGTGAGTGCATGTAGTGAGTGCATGTAGTGAGTGCATGTAGTGAGTGCATGTAGTGAGTGCATGTAGTGAGTGCATGTAGTGAGTGCATGTGGTGAGTGCATATGGTGAGTGCATATGGGGAGTGCATGTAGCGAGTGCATGTAGTGAGTGCATGTAGTGAGTGCATGTAGTGAGTGCATGTGGTGAGTGCATGTAGTGAGTGCATGTAGTGAGTGCATGTAGTGAGTGCATGTAGTGAGTGCATGTAGTGAGTGCATGTAGTGAGTGCATGTAGTGAGTGCATGTGGTGAGTGCATGTAGTGAGTGCATGTAGCAAGTGCATGTAGTGAGTGCATGTAGTGAGTGCATGTAGTGAGTGCATGTAGTGAGTGCATGTAGTGAGTGCATGTGGTGAGTGCATGTAGTGAGTGCATGTGGTGAGTGCATGTAGTGAGTGCATGTAGTGAGTGCATGTAGTGAGTGCATGTAGTGAGTGCATGTAGTGAGTGCATGTAGTGAGTGCATGTAGTGAGTGCATGTAGTGAGTGCATGTAGTGAGTGCATGTGGTGAGTGCATGTAGTGAGTGCATGTGGTGAGTGCATGTAGTGAGTGCATGTAGTGAGCGCATGTAGTGAGTGCATGTAGTGAGTGCATGTAGTGAGTGCATGTAGTGAGTGCATGTAGTGAGTGCATGTAGTGAGTGCATGTAGTGAGTGCATGTAGTGAGTGCATGTAGTGAGTGCATGTGGTGAGTGCATGTGGTGAGTGCATGTAGTGAGTGCATGTAGCGAGTGCATGTAGTGAGTGCATGTAGTGAGTGCATGTAGTGAGTGCATGTAGTGAGTGCATGTAGTGAGTGCATGTAGTGAGTGCATGTAGTGAGTGCATGTAGTGAGTGCATGTAGTGAGTGCATGTAGTGAGTGCATGTGGTGAGTGCATATGGTGAGTGCATATGGTGAGTGCATGTAGCGAGTGCATGTAGTGAGTGCATATGGTGAGTGCATATGGTGAGTGCATGTAGCGAGTGCATGTAGTGAGTGCATGTAGTGAGTGCATGTAGTGAGTGCATGTAGTGAGTGCATATGGTGAGTGCATATGGTGAGTGCATGTAGCGAGTGCATGTAGTGAGTGCATGTAGTGAGTGCATGTAGTGAGTGCATGTAGTGAGTGCATGTGGTGAGTGCATGTAGTGAGTGCATGTAGTGAGTGCATGTAGTGAGTGCATGTAGTGAGTGCATGTAGTGAGTGCATGTAGTGAGTGCATGTAGTGAGTGCATGTGGTGAGTGCATGTAGTGAGTGCATGTAGCGAGTGCATGTAGTGAGTGCATGTAGTGAGTGCATGTAGTGAGTGCATGTAGTGAGTGCATGTAGTGAGTGCATGTGGTGAGTGCATGTGGTGAGTGCATGTGGTGAGTGCATATGGTGAGTGCATGTAGTGAGTGCATGTAGTGAGTGCATGTAGTGAGTGCATGTGGTGAGTGCATATGGTGAGTGCATATGGTGAGTGCATGTAGCGAGTGCATGTAGTGAGTGCATATGGTGAGTGCATATGGTGAGTGCATGTAGCGAGTGCATGTAGTGAGTGCATGTAGTGAGTGCATGTAGTGAGTGCATGTGGTGAGTGCATGTGGTGAGTGCATGTAGTGAGTGCATGTAGTGAGTGCATGTGGTGAGTGCATGTAGTGAGTGCATGTAGTGAGTGCATGTAGTGAGTGCATGTAGTGAGTGCATGTAGTGAGTGCATGTAGTGAGTGCATGTAGTGAGTGCATGTAGTGAGTGCATGTAGTGAGTGCATGTAGTGAGTGCATGTAGTGAGTGCATGTGGTGAGTGCATGTAGTGAGTGCATGTAGCGAGTGCATGTAGTGAGTGCATGTAGTGAGTGCATGTAGTGAGTGCATGTAGTGAGTGCATATGGTGAGTGCATATGGTGAGTGCATATGGTGAGTGCATGTAGCGAGTGCATGTAGTGAGTGCATGTAGTGAGTGCATGTAGTGAGTGCATGTAGTGAGTGCATATGGTGAGTGCATATGGTGAGTGCATGTAGCGAGTGCATGTAGTGAGTGCATGTAGTGAGTGCATGTAGTGAGTGCATGTAGTGAGTGCATGTGGTGAGTGCATGTAGTGAGTGCATGTAGTGAGTGCATGTAGTGAGTGCATGTAGTGAGTGCATGTAGTGAGTGCATGTAGTGAGTGCATGTAGTGAGTGCATGTGGTGAGTGCATGTAGTGAGTGCATGTAGCGAGTGCATGTAGTGAGTGCATGTAGTGAGTGCATGTAGTGAGTGCATGTAGTGAGTGCATGTAGTGAGTGCATGTGGTGAGTGCATGTGGTGAGTGCATGTGGTGAGTGCATATGGTGAGTGCATGTAGTGAGTGCATGTAGTGAGTGCATGTAGTGAGTGCATGTGGTGAGTGCATATGGTGAGTGCATATGGTGAGTGCATGTAGCGAGTGCATGTAGTGAGTGCATATGGTGAGTGCATATGGTGAGTGCATGTAGCGAGTGCATGTAGTGAGTGCATGTAGTGAGTGCATGTAGCGAGTGCATGTAGTGAGTGCATGTAGTGAGTGCATGTAGTGAGTGCATGTAGTGAGTGCATGTAGCGAGTGCATGTAGTGAGTGCATGTGGTGAGTGCATGTGGTGAGTGCATGTGGTGAGTGCATATGGTGAGTGCATGTAGTGAGTGCATGTAGTGAGTGCATGTAGTGAGTGCATGTAGTGAGTGCATGTAGTGAGTGCATGTGGTGAGTGCATGTGGTGAGTGCATGTGGTGAGTGCATATGGTGAGTGCATGTAGTGAGTGCATGTGGTGAGTGCATATGGTGAGTGCATATGGTGAGTGCATGTAGCGAGTGCATGTAGTGAGTGCATATGGTGAGTGCATATGGTGAGTGCATGTAGCGAGTGCATGTAGTGAGTGCATGTAGTGAGTGCATGTAGTGAGTGCATGTGGTGAGTGCATGTAGTGAGTGCATGTAGTGAGTGCATGTAGTGAGTGCATGTAGTGAGTGCATGTAGTGAGTGCATATGGTGAGTGCATATGGTGAGTGCATGTAGTGAGTGCATGTAGTGAGTGCATGTAGTGAGTGCATGTAGTGAGTGCATGTGGTGAGTGCATATGGTGAGTGCATATGGTGAGTGCATGTAGCGAGTGCATGTAGTGAGTGCATATGGTGAGTGCATATGGTGAGTGCATGTAGCGAGTGCATGTAGTGAGTGCATGTAGTGAGTGCATGTAGTGAGTGCATGTAGTGAGTGCATGTAGTGAGTGCATGTAGTGAGTGCATGTAGTGAGTGCATGTAGTGAGTGCATATGGTGAGTGCATATGGTGAGTGCATGTAGCGAGTGCATGTAGTGAGTGCATGTAGTGAGTGCATGTAGTGAGTGCATGTAGTGAGTGCATGTGGTGAGTGCATGTGGTGAGTGCATATGGTGAGTGCATATGGTGAGTGCATGTAGCGAGTGCATGTAGTGAGTGCATGTAGTGAGTGCATGTAGTGCATGTAGCATGTAGTGAGTGCATGTAGCGAGTGCATGTAGTGAGTGCATGTAGTGAGTGCATGTAGCGAGTGCATGTAGTGAGTGCATGTAGTGAGTGCATGTAGTGAGTGCATGTAGTGAGTGCATGTAGTGAGTGCATGTAGTGAGTGCATATAGTGAGTGCATATAGTGAGTGCTTTGCCTCTCGACCGTTGTTGTCACCTTGAAGTTCACCTTGAAGCACAACAGGTGTTTGTGGGCGAGGAATGCGTTGTTGGCCCTCAGCCCTTGCTGGCCACCGGTTGTGCTCACATCATTCCCAACCCTTCCAACTTCCAACCATGGTTGACTCATGCACTTGCACCCCCTCTCCTGCCCCTTCTCCCCTACATTCTGCCCCTTCTCCCCTACCTCCTCCCCTCCTCCCCTGCCAGTGCAATATCCAAGTCGCAACTCCAAGCACCAGAGAATGCCACGATTCTCCGCTTCGTCGTCCCTTACTCAGAGGCCCTCAGCAATCCAGCCTACACCATCTACCCGCAGAAGGTCGCTGCTGATGGGAACTACGACTACCGCCACGGCGGCACCATGTATTTCGGCTGGACGCCAATCAACTACAACCCCGGCGCTCCCAACGAAACCGTGCTGGTTGCTAATTATACCATGATTGGCGCCTTTGCTCTAACGGGTACAAGTGCTCTGGGCACACCGGAAGCAGACAGCTTGGTTGAGCCACACTGTGCTGCTGTGAACACTCCCCCGTACTATAATCCTTTGCCCGTAACCCAGAAACCCGGGCCTGTTCCCACTGCTTGGAGGATGAACACCACAATCGCACCCATCGGCCCTTCGTTTGTAGATATGCGAGGCGTGGTGGTATCCCCTGGGAAGAGGCAGATGTGGGTGAGCTTTATGTCGGCCTTTGGCAAGGACATGAGTGCTTCTGCCGTGGTGGCGAGGCTTCGCTTGTCTTTGAGGCTCAAGCGCAAGTGGAGGCCGTTTCAAGTGTTTCTGGAGCGGTTCAAAGTGGTGGGGGTGGGCGGAGGGAACAGCCTCATTCAGCCCACCATCGCTCTCAACAGGAGAGAGGCCATGGGATGGGTGGATGGGCAAGAGGGGAGAGAGGGATCTGGTAAAGCAGGGAGAGAGGGATCTGGTAAAGCAGGGAGAGAGGAGAGGAGAATGTTAACCTTACCGTGGCCTTACCGTGGCCTTACCGTGGCCTTACCGTGGCCTTACCGTGGCCTTACCGTGGCCTTCCGTGGCCTTACCGTGGCCTTACCGTGGCCTTACCGTGGCCTTACCGTGGCCTTACCGTGGCCTTACCGTGGCCTTACCGTGGCCTTACCGTGGCCTTACCGTGGCCTTACCGTGGCCTTACCGTGGCCTTACCGTGGCCTTACCGTGGCCTTACCGTGGCCTTACCGTGGCCTTACCGTGGCCTTACCGTGGCCTTACCGTGGCCTTACCGTGGCCTTACCGTGGCCTTACCGTGGCCTTACCGTGGCCTTACCGTGGCCTTACCGTGGCCTCACCGTGGCCTCACCGTGGCCTCACCGTGGCCTCACCGTGGCCTCACCGTGGCCTCACCGTGGCCTCACCGTGGCCTTACCGTGGCCTTACCGTGGCCTTACCGTGGCCTTACCGTGGCCTTACCGTGGCCTTACCGTGGCCTTACCGTGGCCTTACCGTGGCCTTACCGTGGCCTTACCGTGGCCTTACCGTGGCCTTACCGTGGCCTTACCGTGGCCTTACCGTGGCCTTACCGTGGCCTTACCATGCCCTTACCGTGGCCTTACCGTGGCCTTACCGTGGCCTTACCGTGGCCTTACCATGCCCTTACCGTGGCCTTACCGTGGCCTTACCGTGCCCTTACCATGCCCTTACCGTGGCCTTACCATGGCCTTGCCATGCCTGAGGAGGGGAGTTGACTTCTCTTGTGTTTCCCTTGGCAGCATGATGGGAACCAGTGTGTGACATGACATAATAATACCCACGAGCACTTACCATTCAGGATGGGCGGGAGCACTAGGCGTGCAGCATGCACCATGCTGTATGGTGTATGGTGTTTGCAATTGCGGCCCTTCAACCACAGCAAGAGAATCACGGTAGCATCAAGCCCGTCCTCTTTCCCTCCACACTTCTCTCTTTTTGGCCAAACCGACACACACACACTCTCTCTCCCTTCACTCCATTCCCCAGGCACGGCAAGGGCATCACAGCAGTGTCACTAGCAGGGCGTTCCTTCTACCCCTCAGCTGCCTATGCCACTCTCAACGCCAATGTGGATGTCGGCCGCGTGGTCGTTACCGGCCCAGGGAAAGCGCCGCTCGACGACTTCACTGGTAAGTCCTCAGCCCTCGGGTGCGTGGCCCTCTGCTTGTTGTTCTTTCTAGTGGTTCAGGACAATACTGTCGCCCGCGGGAACGCCCTTTACACGACTTTACTGGTGAGTCCTCTCCTCTTACGCTGCTTGCTGGTTTTGTAGCGTCCAAGTAGTCGTCGATGTTGGGCGGGTGGGCTGGGGGGGCCTTACGTCCATTAACTTTAGTGGTTATTGAAGTCTAAGGAGAATCCTTGCCGGCCCATGAAAAGCTCCTCTTGATGACTACTCATATAGGGTGCTCGTAGCAGCGACTTAACAGTCGAGTGAATTGCCACCTCACCCCACTCGAGTGAATTGCCACCTCACCCCACTCGAGTGAATTGCCACCTCACCCCACTCGAGTGAATTGCCACCTCACCCCACTCGAGTGAATTGCCACCTCACCCCACTCTCCTCTTGTAGGGTATATGTGACAGAGACTTTACAGTCATGAAGAATCGCAACCTGTAAGCCACCGCCACATGTGTCACACCCACACCCTTCCATCCCTCGATCTCTCCCCCCAGGGTACCGCGGTGCAACGGAGATGAGATATGGCGACTACATGTCACCGCCTCTTGAATCGACTCAAGAGCCACCGCCACCTGGCTCCCACCCACACCCACACCCACACCCACACCCACACCCACTCATCCCTCGCTCTCTCCCCCTCAGGTTACCGCGGTGCAACGGAGATGCGGTACGGCGACTACATGACGGCAACAATCGACGAGGAGGGCAACGCGTGGGCGGCAGTGCAGTATGTGGCGGGGCAGCCGCGCACCGAGTGGAGCAACTGGGCTACCTTCGTCTTCAAAGTCCACCTGCAGGGGCGGGAGGGAGAGGGGAATGGGGATGGGGGGAACGGGGACGGGGGAAATGGGGACGGGGGGAATGGGGACAGCGGGGGGAATGGGGATAATGAGGGGAGTGGTGATAACGGAGGGAATGGGGACAACGGGGGAAATGGGGATCATGAGGGGAAGTAGGAAAATGGGGGAAATGGAGAGGTTGGGGGGAATGGGGATACAAGGGGGACGGGTGTAGTGGGGGGAATGGGAATAATGTGGGTAGATAAGAGAGGAGAGAGGGGGGGATTTGAGGAAGTATGGGGAAGAGGAGAGGGGGAGAAAGGGGAATAAGGCTAGAAGGGGAGAACGTATGTAGAGAAATGAGGAGAAGGGGGTGATATCAGCCCTACACGTGCAGGAGTGTTTCTCTCACAGGCGTCTGTGTGTTGCTCCCTCAGCAACACAGACTCTCTCCCTGCAACTCATGCATAGCATCCCATCACTTGCCATGTCAAACATTTCCAATTGCTGTTAGATATATCTGTCAATGTATATGCATGCTATATATGTGTAGGCTGTAGTGGGGTAGCCAATATGGGGTACAACCTCGTTTAGGGTTTCATACTTGTACCCTACTCTTCCATAGTGCATTCATTCCTGCTGCTAGATTCTAACATGGTATCAGAGCACTAGGTCCGTAGGACCGTCCTTTTTTTTCGGGCCCACCTACCGTTGCGGTTACCGCGCTACCCCACGTGTTGTCATGCGCCTGCCTGCATGCCTTGCCTTGTGACGTGCTGCACTGCGCGCGCCGTCCTGCAGCCCTCGCGCTGCCTCCTGCTGCCCTAGGCCAGCGCGCCGCCCCTGCAGGCCCGTAAGGCCCGTGCGACGCCCCTGCAGACCCGTCAGGCCCGCGAGCCGCCCCTGCAGGCCCGTCAGGCCAGAGTGCCGCCCCGCCAGGTCGCTGACGCGGCCCCGCCCTGCCGCTGACGCGGCCCCGCCCTGCCGCGGTCGCGGCCCCGCCCTGCCGCCGACGCGGCCCCGCCCTGCCGCGGTCGCGGCCCCACCATGCCGCCGACGTAGCCCCGCAAGGTCGCTGTCGCGGCCCGCCCTGCCGCTGACGCGACCCCGCCCTGCCTCTGACGCGGCCGCGCCCTGCCGCCGAAGCGGCCCCGCCAGGTCGCTGTCGCGGCCCGCCCTGCCACTGTCGCGGCCCCGCCCTGCCTCTGACACGGCCGCGCCCTGCCGCCGACGCGGCCCCGCCCTGCCTCTGACGCGGCCGCGCCCTACCGCCGACGCGGCCCCGCCCTGCCTCTGACGCGGCCGCGCCCTACCGCCGACGCGGTCCCGCCTGGCCGCCGACGCGGCCCCGCCAGGCCGCTGACGCGACGCCGCCCTGCCGCTGTCGCGGCCCCACCCTGCCGCCGACACAGCCCCGCCAGGTCGCGGCCCCGCCCTGCCGCTGACGCGGCCCCGCCAGGACGCTGTTGCGCCCCTGACCTGCCGCAGACGCGGCCCCGCCCTGCAGCTGACGCGGCCCCGACCTGCCGCTGACGCGGCCCCGCCCTGCAACTGCCGCGGCCCTACCCTGCAGCCGCGGTTGCGGCCCCGCCGTCGCCGCCGTCGTGCGCCTACCTTGCCGCCGCCCGCCAAGCGCCGGCCCTGCTCGCCCGGCGAGCGCCTGCCCTTTCCGCCACTGGTGAGCACCTGCCTTGTTCACGCGCTGCCGCGCCCTCTGCCTGCCTGTCTGCCTGCCTTCCTGCCTGCCCGCCTGCCTGCCTGCCGCGCCTGCCCTGCCCGCGCTGCTGCTGCTGCTGGCGGTGGCCAGATGCAGCTCCAACGACGTCCGCGCGAGTCTCTCACGCCCCAGCAGCTTCGTGAGTGGTACGCTAGTTGGGGTTGTGGCGGTAGCCGTCGTGGCTGTCGCCCTGGAGCTGGTCAGTCGGGAGCGTCTGGCCGTGGCCAGCTGCAGCGGCGTCCGCGCGAGACACTTACGCCCCAGCAGCTTCGTGAGTGGTACGCTCAGAGTAGAGGGTCTTTGAGTACCGTTCGCTGCCCGTACGTCATTCGCACAGGTGATCGGACGGGTCAGGCTTGCGGGACGCTTAGTCATACACAGTCCCGCAGCTTCGCCCGTCTGAACGACACCTGGCGTATCGAGTTTGGCGACGAGGCTGAGCTCCCCGACTGGGTGGAGCTGCTTGGGCAGAGGGTAGATATATTTGCTCTTGACTATGATGCTATTCTCACTGCCATGTATGCATTGCCTACTAGTGCTGACCGTGCCTGTTACCTGTGCGTACCGCCTGACCCAGGTATAGAGCCTGCTGCTCTCGGTGCTGGTGAGGTTGCTGCTCTAGGTGCTCGTGCGTCTCCTGCGCTAGGTGCTGGTGAGGCTACTGCTCTAGGTGCTAGTGCGTCTCCTGCTCTGGGTGCTGGTGAGGCTGCTGCTCCAGGTGCTGGTGAGTCTGCTCTCTCTGGTACTGCGCCTGCTGAGGCCTTGTACACCTTCACACTTGACTCAGGTGCTTCCCGCTCCTTCTTTTGCGACAGCACCACCCTCACGCCGCTCAGCCGGCCGGTTCCAGTCTCCTTGGCAGACCCCTCTGGGGGTCCAGTCCTTGCGCACTCCTCCACGGTCCTGCCGTGTCCGGGGGTCCCGTCTGGCTCCCTGTCAAGTTTTCACCTCCCCTCGTTCTCTACGAACTTGGTGAGTGGTGCTAACCTCCAGGACCAGTGGGTTGACCAGTTCACTCCTGGAGGTCAGCGCGTGACCCACGGTACGTGCTCCCGGACGGGCCGGCACCTAGCCACATTTACCCGTGCGCCTGGCTCGAGTTTGTACACACTGACTACTGTGTCCCCTCAGGTTGCTGCGTCTGCGTCTGCGTCAGGTCAGCTAGCGCCCCCCTGCTCGTGTCGCGCTTTGTCGCACCAGACCCTCCTTTGGCACCACCGCCTTGGTCACCCCTCGGTGCAGCGCCTTCGTAGCATGCACCGCCGTGTCCTTGTCTCTGGTCTTCCCAGGGTTCTCCCTCCCCTCCCACCCTCGCCTGCTCCTCCCTGTCTTCCCTGTGTCGAGGGGCGGCAGTGCGCCGCTCCTCACTCCTCCTCGTTTTCTCCCACAGAGGCTCCCCTGCAGACTCTCCACCTGGACGTGTGGGGCCCAGCCCGCGTCTGTGGACAGGGCCACAAGCGGTACTTCCTGCTGGTCGTCAACGACTACAAGCGTTACACCACGATCTTCCCCTTGCAGTGCAAGGGGGAGGTCCCTGATGTTTTGATCCCCTGGATCTGCGCTGTTCGTCTCCAGCTCCGCGAGCGGTTCCAGTCAGACTTTCCTGTCCTGCGTCTGCACTCTGACAGAGGTGGTGAGTTCTCCTCAGACCTCTTGGCAGCCTTCTGTGCGGAGCACGGCATCCGCCAGATGTTCACGCTTCCGGCCTCTCCGCAGCAGAATGGGGTTGCTGAGCGCCGCATTGGGTCAGTCATGGAGGTCGCTCGTACCTCCATGATCCATACGGCTGCCCCTCATTTTCTGTGGCCGTTTGCGGTCCGGTACACCGTGCATCAGCTCAACCTCTGGCCCCGTGTCTCCTTACCGGAGACCTCGCCCACACTGCTGTGGACGGGGAAGGTTGGCGATGCGTCGCGTTTCCGGGTCTGGGGTGCTCGTGCCTTTGTCCGCAATACCACCGCGGACAAGCTCTCCGCCCGCGCTGTTCCCTGTGTCTTCCTTGGCTTTGTCCCTGACGCGCCTGGTTGGCAGTTTTACCACCCCACCTCGCGCCGTGTCTTCCCCTCTCAGGACGTCACGTTTGACGAGTCGGTTCCCTTTTACCGTCTCTTCCCCTACCGCACTGCCCCTCTCCCCCCCCCGTCGCTCTTCCTCGCTCCAGGTGCTCCCCAGGTAGACCCCCTCCTCGCTCCCGATCCTGCTCCTTCAGGTGTGTCTCAGGTAGACCCTCCTCCCTTGACTGCGCCGGTTGAGGTTACGGGTGACTGAGTTCCTGCTGAGGGTGGTCCTGCTCGGGGTGCTGCTTCTGGGGGTGTTGAGCCTGGGGGTGCGGAGCCTGGAGGTGCGGAGCCTGGGGGTGTGGAGCCTGGGGGTGCGGAGACTGGAGGTGCTGAGCCTGGGCGTGAGGAGTCTGGGGGTGCTGAGCCTGGGGGTACTGAGTCTGGGGGTGCTGCACCTAGGGGCGCTGAGGCGTCTGGTGAGTAGTCTCCCAGGAGCGGCCGTCTCCGTAGTCGCTCCGTTGGTGCCTCGCCGCTGCACTCTCGTTGTCGACTCCCTCTCTCCCCACAGTAGCTGAGTGAGTGGTACGTTGGCCGTCAGGGTCGCGCTGTTGGAGCTAGGGGCCCTGCTGCGGGAGGCGCTGGAGCTGGTGGCTCTGCTACTGGAGTTGTTTCTGCTGGAGGTTCTGGAGCTGCTGAGGGTGCTGGCGCTGGTGGCACTGGAGCTGGAGGTTCTGGAGCTGCTGAGGGTGCTGGCGCTGGAGGTTCTGGTGCTGCTGCGGGTGCTGGCGCTGAGGGTTCTGAGTCTGCTGTTGCGGGGTCTCCTTGGAGTAGCCGCCATCGTCCGCGTGTGCCTCTCACCTCACAGCAGCTGCACGACTGGTACGGTCGCCGTCAGGGTCGCGCTTCTGGAGCTCGGGGCTCTGCCGCTGGAGGTACTTCTGCTGACGTCACTGGAGCTGGGAGTGGTGCTAGTCCCGGAGGTGCTCGTACTGGAGGTACTGGAGCTGCTGGGGCTGGAGGTGCTGAGCTTGAGGGTGCTACTGCTGGACACCCTGGGTCTGAGGGTGCTGCTACTGGAGACACTGAGGCTGGAAACCCTAGGACTGGAGGTGTCGGTTCTGGGGGTGCTGCTGCTCGTGGAGCTGGTCCTGGAGGAGCTGGCGCTGGGGGTTCTGGAGTTGCTGGAGGTTCTGGAGCTGCTGGCAGTGCTGGAGGTGCTGGTACTGGTGGCACTACACGGCCGCGCCTGTTCTTTGCTCCGACGTCTCCGTCGTCTCAGCCACCGTCTGACTCTGTGCTTCGCTAGGTTCTTTGTCTCCCTTCGTCTACTGGTCTTCCGTTATAGCCTGGCTCACCGCTGCTTGCTCCTTCTCCTTACACTGAGCAGACAGGGGGGCTTACTGAGCGTCGTGAGCCTGCGTCGCGTCTTGTCTCGCCTGTCCGTTCTGGTCGTCCCGGTCGTTGTGTTCCTCGTTCGCGTTAGCCGGCTGTCCCCGGCACCCACCTCGTAGTCCGTCGTCCTTCCTCTCCTCCGCAGCGTGTTCCCCTGCCGTCCCCTCCTGCGTCTTCTGTGCCTACCGTTCCTGAACCTGAGTCTGACCGCACCCGTGCTGCTCACCCTACTGTCACGCGTCTGCAAGCCACAGTTGTCACTGACCAGTCGTTTTAGTCTGCTGTTGCGTCTGCCTTTGTCGCTGATCTTGTTGACTTTGCTGCTGCCTGTCGTCTAGACTACGCCGCTAGTCTTGTTGCTGAGTCTGAGTCTGTCTGTCCTCCGTCCGTCGGGAGTGAGTGTACTCTTGACACGGACGTCCTTGAGGACAGGCACGAGGACCTTCAGTGTCTTGCAGCCGCTGCGCCTCATCTCGTGTCCATGCTGGTTGCCCCTGAGGGAGACCCGGATGCTCCAGACATCCCGACCCCGCGCTCTTACGCTGAGGCAATCACGGGTGAGTACTCCTCTCAGTGGCAGACAGCCATGGGCGCAGAGATGGCATCCTGGAAGTCCACAGGCACTTACGTCGACGAGGTTCCCCCTCCTGGGGCGAACATCGTCAGTGGCATGTGGATTTTCAGGGTGAAGCGGCCGCCATGTTCTCCGCCTGTCTTCAAGGCTCGTTACGTTGCTCGAGGTTTCAGTCAGCGAGAGGGAGTTGACTTCTTCCAGACCTTCTCTCCCACCCCGAAGATGACCACTCTTCGGGTACTGCTGCACGTTGCCGCTCAGCGTGACTACGAGCTTCACTCTCTTGACTTCAGCACAGCTTTCTTACAGGGCAACCTGCACGAGGAGATCTGGCTGCGCCGCCCTCCTGGCTTCACTGGGTTGTTCCCTCCTGGTACCCAGTGGAGCCTCCGGTGGCCTGTCTACGGTCTTCGCCAGGCGCCACGTGAGTGGCACGACACACTGAGGACGACACTTGCTGCTCTTGGTTTTACTCCGTCGACTGCTGACCCGTCGTTGTTTCTGCGCACCGACACTTCGCTGCCGCCGTTCTACATCCTCGTGTACGTTGACGACTTGGTCTTTGCCACTGCTGACACTGAGGCTCTCGCCCTGGTGAAGTCGGAGCTGCAGAAGAGACATACGTGCACAGACCAGGGTGAGCTGCGCAGTTACCTTGGCTTGCAGATCACCCGGGACAGAGCACGCCGCACCATGACACTGACTCAGTCACACATGGTGCAGCAGGTCCTTCAGCGCTTCGGCTTCACCTGGTCCTCGGCACAGGCCACTTCTCTGGCTACAGGTCACTCGCTCTCAGCTCCACCTTCGGACGAGTCCGTAGAGCCGAGTGGTCCTTACCCAGAGCTAGTGGGCTGCCTCATGTACCTGATGACCTGCACTCGTCCTGACCTTGCGTACCCTCTTGGCCTTCTGGCTCGCTACGTGGCTCCTGGTCGGCACCGAAAGGTGCACATGGATGCTGCTAAGAGGGTACTCCGTTACTTGTGCAGTACATCGGGCATGGGGCTCGTGCTTGGAGGGCGGAGCCCAGTTGTCCTCACTGGGCACTCGGACGCTTCTTGGGTTGACGACCTGGCTACGCAATGGTCGTCACGGGGTTACACCTTCAGCCTTGGCTCTGGCTCTGTTTCTTGGCCGTCTACACGCTCGTCCTCTGTTCTTGGCTCCAGTTGTGAGGCTGAGATGTACGCCACAGCCATGGCTGCACAGGAGCTACGCTGGCTCACCTACCTGCTGACCGACCTTGGAGAGCGGCCTCGTTCTCCTCCAGTGCTATACGTAGACAACAAGGCCGCCATTGCCTTGTGTCAGGAGCACAGACTAGAGCATTGAACGAAGCACATTGCTCTGCGTTACTTCCTCGCTCGAGAGTTGCAGCAGCGTGGTCAGCTTCGTCTTGCTCACGTGGCCACTCGGGCCAACACTGCTGATATATTCACCAAGGCACTTCCGTCTGGTGATCATCAGCCTTTTTGTACTTTGTTAGGCCTTGTGCCCACGTTTCCTCACTTGCTGTAGACTTTGCTTGTACTGTGATCTATATATATGCATGCATGCTTGCTCTGCTAGGTAGAGATCACTGTGCTGTTGTTGTTGCATATATACCTCTGCATGTGAACTGGTCTTGTGGCCTTTGCTTGTGCTCAGTGTGTGTGGTGACGTTGTGATCCACCCTGAGCTTGCTTTGCTTCTCTTGACTGGTCTTGTGACCCTTTGTTCTCCCCCACTTTGCCTATGGGGGTGTGTGAAAATATATGCATGCTATATATGTGTAGGCTGTAGTGGGGTAGCCAATATGGGGTGCAGCCCCGTTTAGGGTTCATACTTGTACCCTACTCTTCCATAGTGCATTCATTCCTGCTGCTAGATTCTAACAATATCTGCATCACTTCTTATCATTCAACAATACCATACCTGTTTGCTGCTCGCTCGTTGGTCTCGTTTTGGAGAATTCGCATGCAATCCACAGTATGCCATACAAGTGGGAGAACTGCTACGCCAATTAAAAACCTACTACATGAACACTGAAGCGTTTGTGCACAGCACGTACCGTATTGATGTTTCCTGCGTGCTTGTGAGTCGACTCAAAAGGAAACTGCTACGCCAAGTAGAACATAGGCGAGCACTGAAGTGTGTTTGTGCACGTATTGATGTTTTGTGCGATGCCTTGCGAATGTTTCCATTCGTGCGCGGTCTAAGTGGTGGGCTGACAAGTGGTCTTTTTAAACGTGTACAACGCTGTTCTTACTATCTGATAAAAGGTTGGCCTGATAGTGTAGGCGGTCGTAGGAACATGCCCTAAGACTCAGACCCTATGTGAGCCTGGAATCAGGGCAGCCATATTGCCACCAAAAGCATTGCACCAATCACAGTTGGATCTTAAAAAGCAACGTCTCTTCCAGGTGCTCCCTCGCAATGGATACTCTTGAGGCACCTAAAAAAAGCGTGAATACCGTACCCCAGTTGATCCGATTGGTTCTCCTTGGTCCTCAACGGAGATACAGCGCGGTACTGTAGTCCAAATCACAGAAGGACCTTGGCAATAAAAGTACGGTACCCCAGTTGCTCCAGTGGGTCCTGGGTCTCCCTTGCACGTACTGCACTGCTGCCCATGCGTTCCCCTCTTTGGCCCTCTGTCACAGAGGCCCGTTGAAGATAGAGGTACCCCAGTTGCTCCAGTGGGTCCTGTCCTGGGCCTCCCTACCACATACCGCACTGCTGCTGCCCATGCGTTGCCCTCTTCGGCCCTCTGTCACAGCTGCACCTTGAAGATATAAAGTACCCCAGTTGCTCCAGTCAGTTCTGGGCCTCCCCGGCACATACCACAGCACCCCTGATGGTGCCTTTTGAACCCCCACCAAGAACGTTCACAGTGTGACCTTGAAGATGTAGGTAGCCCAGTTGGTCCAGTGCGTTCGTGGCCTCCCCGGCACATACTGCACGGCGCCCCACGCATTCCCCTGCTCGTCAATGCCTGCTGTCATGTAGTCCCCGTATCGCACTGCCTCAACAAACCCCATGTACCCTGGAATGGGGGAGGGCAGGTGGGGAGTGGGGGAAAGGCGGGATTACGGGCATTGGGGCGAGGAGGGGAAAACGAAAAGGGGGACTTGCGGGTCTGCATGCATTCTCCCCTCGTCCATGCCTGCTGTCATGCAGTCGCCGTACCGCACTGCTTCAGCAAACCCCATGTACCCTGGAATGGGGGAGGGAGGAGAAGCGGAGAAATGGATGGAAGCAGGACTGATAAGCGGGCGTTCTCTGCCTCGTCAACCTCTGCTGTCATGTAGTCGCCATACCGCACTGCTTCAGAAAACCCCATGTACCCTGGGATGGGGGAGGGGGAGTGAGGGAGGGTGGAGGAGGACGGTGGGAGGGGACGGTTTGAGGAATCGTGCGCTTTGCCCTTGACACAGCATTGGCAGCAAGGGAGTAAGAAATCCGCGTGCATTGAGGTGGTTTTTGAGGCGCCTCAATACCACCTCAGTGCCCTTTGCCCTTGACACAGCATCAGCAGCAAGGGAGTAAGAATCACCACAGCCTATCCTGCTCAAGCCACATCGCTCCCTCACCCGAGTAGTCATCCAATGCTGCCCCGCCAGCACCAGCAACCACCACGTCTCCCGCCGCTGTCTCTCCGTTCACAGTCGCATACGCAGCAGAGGGGTAATAAGACGGCCCTGCCAGCGACACTGCCACGATCCCCCTCCCTCGGCTGTTCATCGCTAAAGACGGCTGGATCAACCCGTTCCCCTTCACCCCAACCATTCTGAACCGCTCTAGAACCACCTGTAACGGCTGCCACCGCCTTGTCGGAACCAGTGACATGCGCAGGCGTGCTATCACAACGTAAGGGCCCTCGACCTGTAATATGGAGGTGCCAGTCATAAAGGTGAGCCACATTTGCTTCTTTACCGGTGCCACTACCACTCCTCGAATGTCCGTGCTTGAAGGGTCTATAGGTTTGATTGTTGTCCCATACTCCCATGCCAATGGCACAGGGCTCCATTTTTGTTTCACATAGCCCGTCGTGAAATATTCCGGGCAGGTTGTTGCAGCGTAGAAGGTTTGTACGCGGGAAAGCGCCTGTTTTGTGCCCAGGAAGCTTGTCCCCGTTATAAGAAACGCCCCTATGCGGTTTAGGGTTGCGAATGCCTGTGTGTCTTGGTTGTATCCGAAATACATTGTTCCGCCGTTGGTGTAGTCGAATGGCGTATCTGCCGCTACTTTCTGCGGCCAAACGGTGTAGTCGGGTATGGAAGGGTTGTCACTAGTGGGGATGGCTATACGGAGGATGAAAGTGTTGGTGGGGCGAGATAGCTGTACTTTGGATATAGCACTGGAGGATGGAGGGGATGGGCGGGGGAATAGCGTGGAGAAAATGGGGGATGAAGGGTGTGAGGGAAAGGGGGGAATCTGGTAAATGGGTGGAATGTGGGGGCCGGGGAAAACTGGCATGGATGGAAAGGGACCAGCTTACACTGTGATGAAACAAGACAAGAGGTTGAAAGCGGTTGAAAGCTGTTGAAAGGTGTTGAGAGCAGTGTAAGGTGGGCGCACTCACAAGATGCTGACTCCGAAGTAACCGTCATCTTCGTACGAGAAGTGGTTGGCTGAGACATAGAAACCTGGTTGCCATGCATGCATGGCGGCATGGCAGGCATGATAGGAACGGAGGCACGGAGGCATGGAGGCATGGCAGGCATGGAGGCATGGCAGGCATGGCAGGCATGGCAGGCATGGCAGGCATGGAGGCATGGCAGGCATGGCAGGCATGGAGGCACGGAGGCATGGAGGCATGGCAGGCACGGGCATGCACATAGACAAGTATGTATGTCATGTGGTGCGCATATGGTATGTAGGCATAAAATGCAGGAACGGTTTGCAGGTTTGTTTGCAGATACCACATATCACATGAGCCAAACACTCCGCACACCCTACTGGACCCACTCTGCACCGCTCTTGACCAATGCAAAAAGCGCAGCAGAGCACAGCACCGCACTACACCTCTGCATCTTACCGTATCCGTCCGTGCCTATCTGAGGGTAGTCCACTGCATTACAGTGGGAGGGGAAGGGGCGCAGATGGGGAGGGAGGGGGAGAGGTTTCGAAGGAGGCAACGGGGGAAGAAGGGGGAACAGAATGGGGAGAAGGCGCCTTAGCACACGAATTCAGACACAGAAGAGAGGAAGCTTGCACAGGAGGTTTTAGTTAAAAGAGGTGCTGGAAGGGAAAGTGACTCACTGAAAGTGACTAGGCGTTTGGTTGGGAAGTTGAGAGGGGGGCGGAAATCAGCGTGTGAATTCTTCCCATCGTTCCTGTGCCATGCCATACCATTCCATGCCATGCCGTACCATCCCATACCATGCCACGTCACGCCATGCAATGCCATGCCATGCCGTGCCATGCCGCACACAGGACAGGATGTCCACAGGGATGGAGAAGAGGACTTGATGTGGTGGCGGTAGCTAGCAATCAACAGCACGTAACCTCGTGTACTGAAACTATATGCTGTGGTAACACAACGTGCATGGTATGGTAACACAACGTGCATGGTATGGTAACAAAACGTGCATGGTATGGTAACACAACGTGCATGGTATGGTAACACAACGTGCATGGTATGGTAACACAACGTGCATGGTATGGTAACACAACGTGCATGGTATGGTAACACAACGTGCATGGTATGGTAACACAACGTGCATGGTATGGTAACACAACGTGCATGGTATGGTAACCCTATCATAATGTGCCAACAGTGCACATAATTTCCCATTCACAGCGGACTCTCACGATGAGGGGATGAAGAAGAGGTTCCACGGTTTGGTGGGGTCGGGAGTGGTGGAGGCAGCAACGAGCAGCCCAGTCCCCACTGTTGTCCCGTCCGCCCGATACCTCGTCTGCCCAAACCTGTCATATGCGTTCTTGTCCCCCCCCGACTGGAAGAACGGGGTGAGGAGGAGGGAGGGAGGGAGGGGTGAGGAGGAGGGAGGGAGGGGTGCGGAGGGAGGGAGGGAGGGGTGAGGGGGGAGGGGAGAGGGAGGGGAGAGGGGGCGCCTCAAAGCCCGATACCTCGCCTGCCCCAACCTGTCATACGCGTTCTTGCCGCCCCCAGAATGATGAAAGAGAGGGGGCAGGGGAGACAAGGGGAGTCTTTTGAGGAGCAGCGACATCCAGAATCATCCAGCATCACCCAGCATCACCCAGCAGCACCCAGCGTCACCCAGACACTGTGATGCACCCCCATCAGCACTCACGGTCCAGTATGTAGCGAGGTAGAAGCGTTTGGAGCGGTGGTCATACGTGCATGTCATGTCGCCAATGGCGTCTCCCTTGGGCGCGCCCTCGTATGCCCCCATGTTGCGCGGCAGGGCGTTGAAGAACTGCCACAGGGGGGGTGTGGGATGGCGCAGCAGGGGAGGAGGGAGGAGGGAGGGAGGGAGGGAGGGAGGGAGGGAGGGAGGGAGGGAGGGAGGGAGGGAGGGAGGGAGGGAGGGAGGGAGGGAGGGAGGGAGGGAGGGACAGACAGGCAGGCAGGGAGGGAGGGTGTGCAATGGCGTCTCCCTTGGGCGCGCCCTCGTATGACACGATGTTGCGTGGCAGCGCTTTGAACAACTGCCGTGGGGGGTGGGCAGGCCCAGGGGTGAAGGAGGGAGGGAAAAGGGGAGGGGAATGGCAAGGCGGGGCGCCCTCCCTCCACCAACCTCGAAAGAGGGTGTGGGCCAACCGAGTCATCCTGACACGTCACGTGGGTGTATCTACCATATATTGCAGGACAGCCTTTCATATCCCAGCCTTGAACTGATACCCTCGCCCTAATCTAAACGGTTTAGATTCGCTCACTGAAGCCCCTCCCCTCCTAGCTCTCCCACCCCTCTCTCCCCTCCTCTCCCTCCCCCCGCCCCTTCTCTCCCCACCGCACCTCGTTGTGTGGCGTGATTGCTGTCAGTTGCTGCCCCTTGGTATTATACACTACCAGAGCTGTGTGGGTGGGTGAGAAAGACGTGTTTGTAAAGGAAGAGACATAAAACGTGTTGCGGAAGATACTATTTCGATGAAGGGGTGTGCGTGTGTGCGTGTCAGGTGAGGAATGTTGCGATTGGAAAAGCATACATTGCATCAAGATAAAGATCAAATACTCGTCTGAAAGGCGGAATGCGGTGACCACGTACCGGTGTTGACTGTATGGAGGATAAACCCGTTCCCCACACACATGACAACATCCGGAGGTGTGACTCTGATCTGAGACAGGGATGCGCGGAGAACCATGGGGTGTGGGGAAGACGGGTGGGGGGGGGGGGAGGAAGAGAAAGAGCGGAAAAGAAGGCCGGGAATTGGAAGGTTGAAGGGTGGGGAAGATGCAAGAAAGGTGATGACGGTGGTATCTCCAACGCGTTGACTTTTGAAGCGCCTAAAAAATCGTCTTTTGAGGCGCCTCAAAAATGGAGAAAGGTGATGACGGTGATGTCTCCAACGCGTTGACATCCACTGAAGGATTTCTGTAATAGTTGGGCGGCACCACTCACCATGCTTCGGTTGTATCTGGGCGGGGTGCCACTGTTAATCAGCGACTTCTGGTTGATCCCAGGGAAACCCACCACCGGGTGACTTAGAGTCGACTCGAAAGGCACCTGGATATCTAGTCGCCAGCACTCACCATGCTTCGGTTGTATCTGGGCGGGGTGCCACTGTTAATCAGCGACTTCTGGTTGATCCCAGGGAACCCCACCACAGGTTTCCTCACAACCACTTTTTTTAACTCCACCGCCGCCGCCGCAGTCCCTGCCCCTGCCCCTGTCCTTGCCCCTGACCCTCCTGGTGCCCTTGCACCCGCCGTCTTGTCTTTCCCGCGTTCCCCCTGCCTGCCGACCGCCCCTTGCTGCGCTACCTCCTCCGCGGACTCTTTTTCCGCCCACAACCGCCGCAACTCGGGATTCCGCGGCCAACTGCGCCGCGCGCCAGGCGCTACCCCGCCGCCGCGGCGATTTGCGGACGCGCCGTGGATTCGGCGCGGAGAGACCTCCCCACTGGCGACCCCGGGTCGCGGAGCAGCGTCAGGCGGAAGGTCCGACAATATCTCTGCGGAGTCCGCAGCGGCTGCGCTTTCAGCGGTAGTGCGGACATCGCCGGCGGAATCGGCGAACAAAGAAGTTTCCGCTGTGTGAGCGCCAGACGCGGCGCTCCGCGCCCTCCGCAATGGCGCAATCTTTCCTGTTCCCGCGTACAGCAGCCGTTCCGTTAGCTTGTGGATGGTGACGGCTGCGCGAGGAGTTCCCGCCTGTCCGTTGGCGGAATGTTTCCGCCAGGGCTGTGCGCTTGCTGTCAGCGCCGCGGGGAGCACTACTAGCACGAGCGCCAAGTACGCGGTGAGACGGAATAAAGAAAGCTTACGTCGCGCTGGCGGTGCGCGAAATCGCAGCGACGCCATTGCTGCGGGTTGCGGAGGCAGTATTAATGACGGGAATTAAACGGTACAGATCGGTAGGTTGCGTTCAGCCCAGCCAGACTCAAGTTGGCAAGTTCGGTCCTAAGTTTGAAGGTATGTCAGCTCACCCAGATTACTATCGCAGAACATGGGATGATGAAGCCTGTTTCGAAAGAGGCTGAGTATGGCGGACTCATGTCTGGTGTGGTGGAGTCGTTGACACGGTTTTCTGTGATTCAGTAAGATACAGAGTGTTTCAGTACGGTAATTGTGCACAGATATTAGTGTGCGAATGCGGCCCAATAAGGTGCCTCGATTCAGCCTTGTGCAAAAATGCGGTCCCAGCCTTGCTGGTTTGTGCTTTTGTGCGCCCATGTTGGAGATCAGTGCTTTGTTCCACAAGCGGTGTCCAGTGCACGCAATCGGGTGCAGAAATCCTGGATCGGACGGTCGAGAAGCTTGATGACTCTAACGATTCGGTTACCCTCAAGGTGGTTGCCGAGCCGAGTCATGCTGAGTCAACGTGAGACCATGCAAAAACGCCTCATACACATTATAGCAACCGCTCTTACACGCAAAAACTCATAGATATAAAAGTAGTACAGCTTACATCCACGCTGTTTCCACTGTTGCGAGTGTGTGTCACTCCCAGAGCGAAAAATGCCCCTTGCGTGGCAGGATCTTGGAAGCTCCGATCTGTCGAGTAAGGCGCTGGTGCGTGGACTTGCCAGATCAGCTAGCCCAGCTGGCAGCCAGGCGTGGAGAGGGGCTGTGTTCGACGATCTCAAGGGAAATCCCCCTTCACTCAACTTTTCTGTTCACTCGGTGCTGAAGAGATTTTCCCGTCACTTCACCGCAAATTGAGCTTCATCGCATTTCAGCATTTCATTTTCCCTTCAGCGTTTCATTCTCCGTCCATTCTCCCATTACCATCCTTCAGTTCTTACCCTCAACCAGCCATGGCCACCAGTTTTTCGCGTTAGCTCTATTCTCAACTACGTATCTAAGTTGTTAATGCCCTGTGTCTCTTCTGGAAGCCGGAACGAGAGGAGTTGCGGTTAGATCCCAAACGCCTAGAACGACTGCCTAGCACCAAATCCTTTCACCATCTCAATCATGGCTTCAACGCTTCACACTTTGGTCCCAACGTGCGTTCGCGCTACGCATCGAGCCTGCAACCACTCAGCCAACCAGACCATCCCATCAGGCACAGCATCACCCATCCCACCGGTCATCCATAGACGCGCTCCGCCACGTCTCACGAGCTCCTTTTGGACCAATCCCGCGAATGGATTCGCTGGAAGAGCAGCAGCTCTCAAGGGAGGGTGCGCGTCGGCAGGATCTAGGATCGACGCGGCGGGTTCAGGGAGGAAGAGGCGGGCGACGCGGGGAGCGCCGAGAGCAGAGGCTGTGGACCCGGTGGTTCAATTCTCGCCGGACGACTTTTCCGTGGAGCGATTACTGGGTACCCTCGACTTCATGAACGTCTCCAGGTGCGCCACGTGTCACATTGGCGAAATTTCGGAAACTTGAATTTCAGGTGAGAACTGGAGAATGAATTCAATGCCAGTTCCATGTCCCCCCTCTCCTTCGAGCCACTCCTATAGGCACCTTCGTTGTCTACGTATCCTACCCACACATCCTGTTCACACATCATATCCACGCATTTTATCCACACAACTTATCCACTCGCATCTTCTCATCCTTCCCTATCTGTCCTCCCCCACGCAATCTCCCACCTTCATGCCCCTCCAGCTACTCCATGCCGCCCGGTTCGTCCTCGTCCACGTCATCACTGTCGTCGCTGACGTGGCCGGGGTCCCGCGAGGACACGGCAGCAGGGCTGAGCGAGAGGGACATCAACCAGCTGGCGGGAGGCGGGCAGGAGGTGGGGCGAGGCGGTGTGCAGATCAGGTAATTAAAGCCAGGCATGCATGTGTGGTGGGGTGCGTGGAGGGTTTCCTTTCTCTCTTGTATACTGTGGGGTAACTTGAGTGCTGAACGAGCAGGGCTGAGCTAGAGGAACATCAACCAGCTGGCGGAAGGCGGGCAGGAGGTCGGGCAAGGAGGCGTGCAGAGCAGGTCGGATATCAAATCCAGGTGCCTAGGGCTTCCCTCACCCCTCCCTCTCTTCCTTCCCCTTCCCCTTTCTCTCCCCCCTTCCTCCCCCTTCCCCTTTCTCTCCCCCCTTCCTCCCCCTTCCCCTTTCTCTCCCCCCTTCCTCCCCCTTCCCCTTTCTCTCCCCCCTTCCTCCCCCTTCCCCTTTCTCTCCCCCCTTCCTCCCCCTTCCCCTTTCTCTCCCCCCTTCCTCCCCCTTCCCCTTTCTCTCCCCCCTTCCTCCCCCTTCCCCTTTCTCTCCCCCCTTCCTCCCCCTTCCCCTTTCTCTCCCCCCTTCCTCCCCCTTCCCCTTTCTCTCCCCCCTTCCTCCCCCTTCCCCTTTCTCTCCCCCCTTCCTCCCCCTTCCCCTTTCTCTCCCCCTTCCTCCCCCTTCCCCTTTCTCTCCCCCCTTCCTCCCCCTTCCCCTTTCTCTCCCCCCTTCCTCCCCCTTCCCCTTTCTCTCCCCCCTTCCTCCCCCTTCCCCTTTCTCTCCCCCCTTCCTCCCCCTTCCCCTTTCTCTCCCCCCTTCCTCCCCCTTCCCCTTTCTCTCCCCCCTTCCTCCCCCTTCCCCTTTCTCTCCCCCCTTCCTCCCCCTTCCCCTTTCTCTCCCCCCTTCCTCCCCCTTCCCCTTTCTCTCCCCCCTTCCTCCCCCTTCCCCTTTCTCTCCCCCCTTCCTCCCCCTTCCCCTTTCTCTCCCCCCTTCCTCCCCCTTCCCCTTTCTCTCCCCCCTTCCTCCCCCTTCCCCTTTCTCTCCCCCCTTCCTCCCCCTTCCCCTTTCTCTCCCCCCTTCCTCCCCCTTCCCCTTTCTCTCCCCCCTTCCTCCCCCTTCCCCTTTCTCTCCCCCCTTCCTCCCCCTTCCTCCCCCTTCCTCCCCCTTCCTCCCCCTTCCTCCCCCTTCCCCTTTCTCTCCCCCCTTCCTCCCCCTTCCTCCCCCTTCCTCCCCCTTCCTCCCCCTTCCTCCCCCTTCCCCTTTCTCTCCCCCCTTCCTCCCCCTTCCCCTTTCTCTCCCCCCTTCCTCCCCCTTCCTCCCCCTTCCTCCCCCTTCCTCCCCCTTCCTCCCCCTCCCCCTTCCTCCCCCTGTGCCCTCGGAATGGTTACCCCGGGGGAGCAATTGGGCACGTGTGTGCTGCTTAAGGCATATCCGGGCAGGGAGGCCGCCTCCTTTTGAGTCGACTCAAATCCGGGCAGGGAGGCCGCCTCCAAGGCTGACACTGATACTAGAACTCTCTCACCCTTCCCTTTCCTCCCTACACTTTCTTCCCCCTCCCCCTTCTTTCCACTTTCAAAATGTGCCATGTTCGCATGGCGACGCCAGGGGAGCGGCTGGGCACGCGCGTGCTGCGCTGCTCAAGGCATACCTTCGCATTGAGGCTAGGGCTCCCCTCACCCCTCGCCCTTTTTCCCCACCACCTCCACTTCCCCCTGTCTCTCCTCATAATGTACCGTGGGCGCATGGTAACACCAGGGGAGCGCCTGGGCACGTGCGTGCTGCTCAAGGCGTATCCGGGCAGAGAGGCCGGCGGTAAAGCTAGCGCTCCCTTCACCCCTCCCCCTTCTCCCCAACCCCTCCCTCCTCATCCCGCCCTCAGAATGTACCGAGGCCGCATGGTAACACCAGGGGAGCGCCTGGGCACGCGCGTGCTGCTCAAGGCGTATCCGGGCAGAGAGGCCGCCGCCAAGGCCGTTGACGTGGATGTCATGGCAGCCAATGAGCTCGTGACACATGTCGCTCTGCAGGAGGCCCAGGTGGGTTGGTGCTGGGGGTGTGGGAAGTGATGGGGTTGGGTTTATGCCAGGGTGTGAGGGGGTTGGGGGGGTCTGAGTGGTTGGGTGATGAGATTTCCTTGATGAGAGAGCAGGCGCATTCGTTGATGGTTGTCGCACATGCCTATTGCATTCTCCTTGTTGGCTTATTGCATTCATTGATGTTTGTTTGCCACAGGACGAGGCACAGGACGACGAGGTGGAAGTGTCACGCAACGTGCTGGTGCTGCTGGGCGGCTTTGAGACAAGCTCGGGCGAGAAGGTGCGTGGGAGAGTGAGTGGCACAAGTCACAGAACACGTTTGCTGCCGCAAGGTGCATGCTCTGTACCCGCTGACCATCCGAAATCGGCATCCCCACCTCCCATTCCCACTC